ATCAAAAGTAGATGTTTAGACTGAGAATTGATAGATGTCAGAACTATGCTCACCTTAACTTTTTATCTGAAATGAAGTGTGACCAGAAAGTAGATGTTGAATTTCTAAGTGTATACATTTTCCTCTGTAAAGTAGATGTTGTTGAATCTCTGTCACTGCCCCTGAAACTCCATAAAGTGAGGATATACATCAGCTTACTCACCTGCTTCCTTAATGTGCTTATAAACATCATCACTCCCAGCAGAAGAATAAGGAATGTCATCATGGGCTACGAAATCAATCTGAAATAAGGAAACTTCATTTAAAACCCAGGATAACTGCCATCAGAAAGAACCAGTAAATACTCTTTCAATAAATACTCTCCCAGACCCAGATAAAGGACAAGGAGAGGCCAGGCCTCGAATGGACTTTTTTTTCTTTACCTCTCTTTGCTTTGCTTCATACATTCCGTGATTCATTCATAAGCCACCCAAACTAATTATTTATCAATCGTAAACATGAAGTTGGCCAGTTTCTGTTTTTAACTATTTCTCCTGGTATACTGGAAGTGCTACCCTCACACTGCATACCAGTCATCATACTATAGTAAATAGGACTGGAGAATTTGCTGGTGTGTTAGCTAGTGAGTGGAGCCAAGGAAAGAAGAAAGGAAATCTCCCCATCCTCCCAGGTCTATAAGGGTTGGTCAAATAAGGGTTTCTAAAAATATGCAAAAGAGGTCACTTCGTGGTTAGCTGGTTTCTCTCTCAGTCCATGAGATGAGTGGGAATATAAAAATAGCAGCCAAGAGCCCTTTTACTAGAACAGATACATCTATACTCCTGAGAAATGTAAAACTCAAAGCCATAAAAGACCTTTTGGTCTTAGGCTCTATCACTTCACTACTGTCGATACCTCTTGCAACAATGAGAAGAGAACAACGCCACTGGGATCAATAATCTTTCAGACAGACACGCTAACCTTACTTAGTCATTCCTGAGCAGGTCAAATGGCATTTACTAATATAATTGCTAACACAACCATACCCAGTTCCAGAAGCCACTGTAGTATAAACCATGCCCAGGACTATGTCAGAGACTCTCGGCTAACATCTTGGTTACTTACGGACAATTTATCAGGGGTCAATAGGCAGCAAAGTGAAAATAAGAATGGTGGGCAAGTAAGACGGCTGGTTGAGGATACACTGCTAACAAGGAGAAAAGAGAAGTTAAAAGTTCCTCTACCGTCTTCTGCCTGGGCCTGCCTGGCTGTGTTGCTGAGAATAATCTTGTTCATCACCTTTGGTACATCAGCTGCCAAGTATAGATATAGAAAAGCTAGAGAATTATAAAAGGTCTGTCACAATCCTAGTTTTAACAAACATCACTCTTGCTGAGAACTGACAATATTCCTCAAGCTTGAGGGCCTCCGATCTGATCTGATAGACCCTTCTCATCTTTTATACTCACCTTTTATAGGAAACCTGTTTCTCTAATGTGTGAGAATTAAAAGAAGGTGAGGGGTTTTATAATACTAACTCAATGAGAAAAAGTGAGAAACCCCCTGTGTGTTGATCTCACACAACATCTAGCCCAAAATCAAAGCCCTGAAACTAGATTAATACAAAAGAAGTCTATGTGTATCTGTCTTATTTCCTGGAACTCCTGAGAACATGGCTGAAGCTCTGTATATTCTAAAGGACTGGTATATTAGGAGGACGGACACATCCATAGTGAGGGAGGATAAATATCACTTAACTGAAGAGTTCAGTTTCTAGCCCTGCTACTGTGTATCCTGGACCAGGTTATTTGGTCTTTCTGGCTCTGTTCTCAGATATAAAGTAGAAACCATAGGGGTACCTGGGTGGCTCAGTTGGTTAAGTATCCAACTTTGGCCAGGTCATGATCTCATGGTTCATGAGTTCGAGCCCCACATCAGGCTCTGTGCTGACAGCTCAGAGCCTGGAGCCTGCTTCTGATTCTGTGTCTCCCTCTCTTTCTGCCCCTCCCCCACTCACGTTTTCTCTCTGTCTCTCTCTCTCTCTCTCTCTCTCTCACTCAAAAAATGAATAAACATTAAAAAAATTTAAAGTAGAAACCATAACTACCCAATAAGACTGTGGGGAACAAATGAAATATAATGGATGTAAAAGTGTTTTTAAGCCACCAAACCCCATATAAATGTTAGGGATGACTAGTAGTAAAACCACTGTCATCTCTTCCATGTGAAATTTACACAGACCGTATAAGTAAAATACGGCTAGTGGAAAACTAGCCTGAGTCCTGGAAGTCTTGAGAGTCGAGGGAATTCCAGGAGGGGAATGGGGACATGTACTCAGTCTCTTACCCGGTGTTCCGCGAGGAACTCTGGCGTGAGGGTCCAGGGGGCATTCCTCACCACCTCATCCACATAGCGGCAGTGCTGCACGGCATCGTAGCGCTCATTTTCATTCATCACTGTGAAGCCTTTGAAGTTGTGTGTGAGCTCATCACTGCAAACTGAGTTCACCACATCATAAAGTTGTAAGTCAAAGTCCCCTTTGCTTAACCATTCCTCAGCCACCAACCTCTCCCATTTCCTAGGACTGTAACCGATCTCCCCACATGGAGAAGTATTTTCTGGATATAGCTCATTCTGGGTAGCAATGCTTTTCCTAATCCAAGATATACCTTCAGGAGCAATACACACTAAACAGTATGTTCACACTTTGGAGAAGACTTCGAAATTAACCTGCTGTGAATTTCTACAGCAATTAAGTTTTTGAAAATATTTTCTTAGGACACCTGGGTAACTCAGTCGGTTAAATGTCTGACTTCAGCTCACGTCATGATCGGGTCTGTGGGTTCAAGCCCTATGTCGGGCTCTGTGCTGACAGCTTAGAGCCTGGAGCCTGCTTCGGATTCTGTGTCTCCCTCTCTCTTTGTTCCTTCCCTGCTTGCACTCTGACTCTCTCTCTCAAAAGTGAATACACATTAAAACAAACTTTAAAAATGTTTCCTTATTACATTTTTGTAAGACTGTACTGGATCACATAACATTCGCTTAACAGACTTTCGTACTTCAGTTGATTCAAAATGACAAACTGGAATCTAGTAAATGCTGTTCTTAAGTAGGCAATAGGGGTCACTGTTGCTCCCCAAACTGTAGAAACTCAAATGAAAACAGTGAGATAAAAACTAGACATCTCTGGGACACCTGGCTGGCCCAATTGGAAGAGCATATGACTCTTCATCTCAGGGTCGTGAATTTGAGCCCCATGTTGGGTACAGAGATTACTTAATAAAACTTAAAAACAAAACAAAACAAAACTGGACATCTCAGGTCAAAGAGCTTGTAGTTTCTTTCACCAGGTCTGTATACTTCATGTACTTCATGTTTTACAGAGGTTGCTCTACATCCCTCATTTTAAAACCAAAATAAGAGCCAGGGCTCAGGTTATGAAAGAAGAAAAATGCTACTATAATTTTTTTCTGGAAATCACCTAAAGTTATCAGATATTTTCTTACCTCCTACAATAAGGTATGTATTAGGGAAAAGGTTCTTTGCTTGCATCAGAGCCCGGGCATGACCACAGTGAAATAAGTCAAATATTCCATCTGCATAAACTCTCACAGGACGGTCACCTAAATCCAAAGGAAAGAATTTATCACAAAAACACATCGATTTAATATCTCATATTTGACAAGTGGAAATGGCACTGTGTTTCCACCCTTGCATGCCCCTTTCTTGTTTTCTGAACATTCACCCTAACTTAGGGGTAGACTAGGGTTGTGAGGAATAACATCAGACTTCCTTGGCTACAAAGACCCTTTTGACATCACATCCATTGACTCTGTTACCCTGATTTCACCAAACTGCTCATGTAACTGGATATCATGATTGCTTTTTCTTAAAGTTATTTTAGAAGTAAATGGGAAGAGTTACATAACATATGTGTCCTAAATTTTAAAATCCTCACCTTCAGCTTATGTTTAAATCTCAGTCATGTTTAAATAGAGTATAGCTAAGGTATACTCTGGCTGCTTGCTCTCTCATTTTCAGGCTGCCTTGATTACTAATAACTAAGCTTTGCTATGAAAATAAACTTCCCTCTGATTGCCCAGTGAGTAAGGAGTGATCCAAAGAGGTGAAACTGAGAAAAAGGGAAGGTTAAGTACCAGTTATCAACTTACTGCTTCTCAGTCCCAAATTCACCTTCAGCACCTGCTCTGTGATAACAGATAGGATTCCTTCAAGTATTTCTCCTTGACAGTGAGCATGTTATACTTTCTCAGTAGAGGGTGATATACTAAGTATTTGAAAGTCAAATATAAATATTATAGGACTTTATATTAGAGCTTTTCCTCTTCTTTCCATTGGTGAAAATGATAGAGAACAGATTGCCAATTTATTTTCAGTGGTGGTGGACTATGAAAGAAAAGCCAGGAAATGATCTCTTTGAGTACAAGACTAATTCCAAAGCCTAACAAACACACTGAGAATGGAATTGACATAATGGTTCATCATACTTCAAATAATAAATCTAAAAAGTCCTAGTAATATATTCCTATATGTAAATAAAAGAAGAGTTATTTCACTGCAGCAGCAGCAAATAACAGTAGGAGCAGCTACATCGTCTGGGAAAGAAGGGCCAAAGTCTCATCAGATATACCATACTGAAGGTAGGCGTAAGATACAACACCCTTGTCTTGAGAACAACAAATCAAGGGGGAGGAAATTGGTTGCCAGGAGGTTTATGGACTTTTCTTTCCAGATAGGTTTATCCATAAATAAGTAGCCTTTTTAAAAAGATCACTTACTTATTTTGAGAGAGAGAGAATGCACACAATCAGGGGAGGGTCAGAAGGAGAAGGGAAGAGAGAATCCCACATAGGCTCAACACTCAGTGCAGAGTCTGACACAGGGCTCAACCTTATGACCATGAGATCATGACCTGAGCCAAAATCAAGAGTTGGCTGCTTAACTGACTAAGCCACCCAGGTGGATTTAAACTTTAAACAAGTAGCTTTTAAACTAAGAAATAATAGAGAGTGCCTGGGTGGCTCAGTCAGTTAAACATCAGACTTCAGCTCAGGTCATGATCTCACAGTTTGTGTATTTGAGTCCTACTTTGGGCTCTGCGTGGACAGCTTGGAGCCTGGAGCCTGCTTTGGATTCTGTGTTTCCCTCTCTCTCCCTGCCCTTTCCCCCTCCTCAAAAATAAATAAACATTTAAACTGAGAAATCATATACTGGTGTTAGAAATATAAACTGGTACAACTTTTAAGAAGGGTAATTAGATAATATCTGTCAAAAGACGCAGAAATGCTTATACCCTTTACCCCAGCTATTCCAATTCTAGTAATTTATTTCATACATATATTTGTAAATATGCATGGTATTCATTGCAGCATAGTTTGTAATAGTAAAAGTTTGGAAACAACTTAAATTTCAATGGAAGACTGAACATACTATGATACACCTACTAAGGGTGGAAGGGAGAGATACTGGGTGGCTGTGAGATAGTGATAATAGGAAGACTTTTCACTCTATACCCTTAATGTATTTTGTAAATGTTAGGCTATGGAAATGTATTGGTTTTGTAATACAGGAAATGAAATTTTTAAATAAAATAGATACACCAATACAATGAAAAACAACATAATGGATTTAAGAGTCAAAAAGCTTATAGCTCAAACTTAACGACCAGCCTCCTTCCTCTATAATCTTAACCTCTTTAACACTCAGTTTCCTCATCTATAAAACAAAGCAAAACACAACAAAACCTGAGGAGCATAATCTTTCTTCTACATCTTAGAAATCCATCTTTCCTAAACAAGTCCAGAGTGGCTATGATCTCATTTTTTTTGATCCTAAAAGACAAAGGATAGAACACAAAGATTAAGAATACTTTGTTATTGTTTCTTTGACATTAGCATACAACAAGGGCAAAGTGAGATGAGGGGGATTTAGCGCCATAAACACATTTCCAGGATGGTGGAAGTAGTACCAAATACTGTTGATCAACGGGCTGTTTGTCAGGGTTAATCATCCCATATAAGGCCAAGTCACCACCAAACCCCTTCTCGGACCAACTCCAGATGTGCTCCTTGCCCTCTTCAGTGTTTTCTCAGCCACCCGGCCTCTCAATTCCCTATGACTTACCCCCAAGTCTTTGGCAAACCTGGGCGGGTATAGTAAGCAAATGGCCAGAAAGATCACTGTTAAGGAGAAAATCTGAGGACTAAGTACAAGTTACCCATTCTTTTCCCAAGTGGCTACTGGCCAGGATACCCAAACCATCTGATTTACATCTGTTGTTTCAGCATATTAATAAGAGCAACCCCCTTTCACTTTCAAGATGGTCCTGGTTTTTAATATAAATTATAGTCTTTGCACTAAATAAATATATGTTCTCCTTACGCAGAACAAACGTGGCTTTCAATTTATTGTGTCTTTTAATATATTCTCTCAAATACCTATCCCCAAAACATTTTGTTTCTAACAGATTCTGTTGCCCTTCCAACTTTGACTTCTTTTCCTTTCTCCTAGAAAACACATTGCTGATTTTTTTCTTTCATCTTCCTAAAGGAATAATCTTCTCTCAAGCTATATTTGTTTTTTTCTCTGGGTGGTGAGTTTTCTCCTAGATTATTACCAACTCCTTTCTTAAGGGAGTCCTTAACCTCCCTAATGAAAACATGGTGGAGGGAAGGATGCCCCCCTGGCTTACTCCTTGTCCAATACTGGCATGAATAGTCCCTTGGTTATTAAACATAAAACTGAACAGGCAGAATCAGATATAGGAGAAATACTGGAGATCAAACTAGACCAGCAAACTTTATAAGCAAATGTGTGACTATCTGTTCCACCTAAAATGCAATCAGTTTGCCGATGGCCTTCTATTATTTATAACTAATGTCTACAAAGAGCAGCACCACTCCAGGGTAAAAAGAACATGAAGATGGAAAAACTTAGGTTTTAGTTTCAATTCTATCACTAATTATTGGTTTTACTACAGGGGACCTTTCACTTCTTAGTTTCTATGGACTTTAATTTAATTTCTTCATTTATATAATGAGACGATTAAGTAGATGATCTCAAAAATGACTTATAAAATTCTATGAATTAATTCTAAAATTGTTAAAAATTAGTGCATGTGAATTATAAGCTTCAAGTACACATACATTTTATTGACCACAAATGATTTGTGGGTAGACTAACAACAAGCTGGGTAATGTGAGGTACTACATTCTGAATGTGTGTTATTAGAGAGCACACGAAAAGTTCTTGCCTTCAACATGCTCTGCTATCACATCTGAACATGATCCTTGAACTGTTTGATGGCATTTCGAACTCTGATCTGACACCACTATGCCTTGTTACACATACCCTGTTTTTCCTTGTTGTCATTTTACCCTGCCCCATCAACCTGCTTATTACTCAAGGGGAACCAAGCCTAAAATGCCACATCATGAATCAGAAGGGCTGTGATCAACATGAGACATATACAAACACTTTTGGAAAAAAAAAAGCATTATCTGGAATTCTGAGGACTCAAAAACTATGTTTCATACAGCCATGATTTAGCTAAGGAGTACTGGGCTCCCTGCCCTGGAACTGTCCAGCATCTATATCTATTCATATTTTGCTACTCCTCCATTACAACAGAGAACAAATATACTAACACTATTAAGAAGTAACCACAAATATCTTCTACATATTGGAAATGTATACATTTGTGGCTGTAACTGCCTCTTATTCCTTAGTGTTTACCTGGGTTTGAGTCTAGGCCCACATTTACAGAGTAGACAGAACACTTACCATAGTAATGGAAAGAACCAAAAAAGGATTGAAAAAAAGAATTGGAGAATTTACAGATAAGTAAGGACAGCTGCCTATATGACTTTGTATTTCTAACAAATACCCAAGGAAGCTTCTCTTTAAAATAATCCCTAAAACTGGGTCACCTGGGTGGCTCAGCTGGTTAAGCATCTGACTTCAGCTCAGGTCATGATCTCACAGTTCCTGAGTTTGAGTCCCACATTGGGTGAGATCAAGCCCCACCTCAGGTGAGCACGAGCCCCACCTGGGGTAAGCATGAGCCCCGTTTCAAGTGAGCCCCGCTTCTCACTCTCTCTCTCGCTCGCTCTGCCCCTTGTGGGATTCTCTCTCTCCCTCTATTGCCCCTTGCTCACTTGCACCCTCTCTCTCTCAAAAATAAACAAACAAATAAATGAAAAAACTCAAATTAAAAACAAAAATCTCTAAAACCACTTGTCCAAAACAGGAAGAGTATTTAGAACACATATTAATAGCTTACGTAGTCAAAAATCGCTACTTAATGATGTAAACTAAGCATACAAATAAAAGAGTATAGGGTTTAAAAATAATAAAGTGAGTTTTTAAAAAAACCTAAAAGATTGTATCAGTAAAGATAAAGTTAAGTGATAAGCATCTCCCCACTTGGGATATTTTATCCTCTAACATTCAGCGGTGTCTAGCAAGGGTATTAACTTATAGAAAGGGAGATCTGGGGGACAATTCTCAAGGCTATTAAAAATGTGACAGCCTGACATAGTATTCAGACCTCTGTAAAAACAGACAAGGTTATAATCCAGCTCAGGCTAATAACCTATTGTCTCTGTTCTACTATACCTCATAGTTGTGACAACAGCCCATGAAGCAAGTATGTACCACTATATCTCACAGCTGTAACAACATCCTAGGAAACAAGCTTAAAATGATAAGAAAAAATGAAATCTTATGGAATGCAGTTATACTCCCAAATAAAACAGCTGGGAGATAGGAGGAAACCCTCTCCCAACTACCCTTTTTATACCCAGTTTATAGGTAAACTGAGGAAAGAATATAGAAAAGTAGGTGCATATTTGATAAATACAACTGAATGCTAAAAACAGAGTAAAACAACAAAATAATTAAGCATTTACTTACAAGGAGTTCCTCTGCTGGCTTCTTCCATAGTTACCCTGACATAGGGCTTACTAAAGTCTACTTCAATTTCATCAGAAAAAGGAGCTGGCTGCTGTAAGCCCTTAAGATAAGGAAAGTGAAGGAAAAGAAAGTTAAATTCAATGGTATAGACTGAAATACTCAAAAAATGGCAGCTTTAAAGAACAATCAGTTATTCAATATGCTGGTGATTAAATTCCTCCTAAAACCTCATAACACACAAAAGAAAAAAGGCATTCCAAAATGACAGGTGAAAGTTGCAACCTTTTACCAAAGAGGTAAATTGCTAAATCATGATATGAAAGATAAATATCTTGGGGCGCTTGGGTGACTCAGTTGGTTAGTGTCCAACTTTGGCTCAGGTCATGATCTCACTGCTCGAGAGTTCAAGCCCCTCATGGGGCGTTAGCTTGGAGCCTAGAGCCTGCTTCAGATTCTGTCTCCATCTCTCTGCCCCTCCCCTGCTCTCTCTCTCTTAAATATAAAAAATAAAACATTAAAAAATTTTTTAAAAAAATAAAGATAAATATCTTGCTGGTGATTTCAGGATAATATTGAGCGAGGTGGCTGGGAAACTAAGCATAGTCCCAACTAACTGGGTCCAGAATGATGGCTCCTCCATCACATGGCAGAACACCCAACTCTATTCTATGTGATGAAATTGCCAAGCTTCTATTGTGCATTTTTCTACCACTTCAACTAAGGGACTGCGAAGGCAAACAGCTCCTGAATGCTTTATTAAGTATGATTATCTCTGTATAATGCTTTACATTGTAAATATTTTTTTAAATTGTTTTAATGTTTATTAATTTTTGAGAGAGAGAGAGTGCGTGAGCAGGGGAGGGGCAGAGAGAGAGGAAGACACAGAATCTGAAGCAGGCTCCAAGCTCTGAGTTGTCAACACAGAGCCCGATGTGGGGCTCAAACCCACAGACCGCAAGATCATGACCTGAGCTGAAGTTGGATGCTTAATCGACTGAGCCACCCAGGCTCCCCAACTTTAAATATGTTCTAATGCTCATAACAGCCCTGTGAGGCAAGTAGTACAACAGTCAGTATCCTCAATTTACAGATGAGGAAAACAAGGTTCAAATAAATTATATCAGTTATATGCAATTACTCAGAGGCAAAGCTAAAATAAGAATGCAGGAATTCTCTTTCCTCTACAGAGTTAACTTAACTCTACTACTTAAAAGCTTTTGTTAAATTGTTTCATAAGTATTTTATTCTATTTGATTCTATTATGAAGGGAATTGTTTTTCTTCACTGTATTTTTGGATTGTTCCTTACTGGTATATAAAAATGCAAGTTGATTTATATGTGCAAATGTGTGTCTGTGTGTAATTTCAGATGATTTTTGTATATTGATCTAATGTCTTGTGAATTTGCTAAACTCAACGATTAGTTCTAGCACTTTGGTAGATTCCTGAGGATTTTCTACATTTGAGATCATGTAATCTATGACTCAAGACAGTTTTACTTACTCCTTTCCAATTTGGATGCCTTTAATTTCCTTTTATTATCCCTTGTTGCCTTAGTTAGAATCTCTAGCACAATGCTGAATAGAAGTAACAAGGACAAAGATCTTTGCCTTTTTTCCAATCTTAGGGATGAAGCATCCAATCTTTCACCATTAAATATTATGTTAACCCTAGATGTTTTGTAGATGCCTTTATCAGCTGAGGAACCGCCCTTATTTTTGCAATTTGTTTAGAGCTTTTATAATAGGTGTTGGGTTTTGTCATACGCTTTTTCTGTATTACTGAAACATGCACATTCTGTTTTTGTCTTTTGTTACTTATAGTGTATTAGATTAATTGATTTTAGGATGCTAAACCAATCTTGCATTCCTGAGTGAAATCCCTCTTGGTCATGTTATATAAATCTTTTTAAATATTCCTGGATTTAATTTGTTAATATATTGTTACAGATTTTTGCATCTAAGCTTGTGAGAAATTTTGAACGATAGTTATCTTTTCTTGTGCTTTTTTTTGCCTGGCTTTGATGTTTGGCTTCGCAAAAGGGGATAGAAAGTATTTTCTTTTCCTCTATTTTCTGAAACCATTTATTCAGAATAGAAAGCTATTACTTCCTTAAATGTTTGAAAGAATTCACCAATGAAGCATCTGGGTCTGGACTTATCATTGTGGGAAGATTTTTAAAGACTACTTTTTTTATTTTTATTTTTTAACTTGGGATACGTCATTCAGATTCTCTATTTAATTTTGGGTCAGTTTTGGCAATTTGTCTCTTTCTAGCAATGTCTATTTCATTTAAATTGTCAACTTTTTTTGGCATTTAATTGTTCATTACATTCCCTTATAATTCTTTTAATTTCTGTGGGTTATAGTGATGTTCACTTAGAATTTTAAATTCTAAACAAATCGCATCATGATTGGTCTGAATCCAGGGACTGGGAAAACATCACTTTGATTTGTTTTCAGATAAGGACAGATTTTTAAGATTAGATTTTAAAATTAAAACATACTTTTTAAAAATCCCTTATATGGGGCACCAGGGTGGTTCAGTCAGTTAAGTGTCCAACTTAGGCTCAGGTCATAATCTCACAGTTTGTGAGTTCAAGACCCATGTCGGGCTCTATGCTGACAGCTCAGAGCCTGGAGCCTGCTTCAGATTCTGTGTCTCCCTCTCTCTCTGTCCCTCCCCTGCTCACACTCTGTCTCTGTCTCTCTCTCTCTTTCAAAAATAAACATTAAAATTTTTAATATAAAAAAATAAAATCACTTATATAAACTTAGTTAAGATATGCTAAAGCTATAATAAAGATAAGTGAAAACACCCATTTTTAAGAGACATGTGCATATGAATGTTATCCTTTTTAAGAACTTTTTTTGTTTGTTTGTTTGTTTAGTGTTTTATTTTGAGAGAGACAGAGAGAGCAGGGAAGGGTCAGAGAGAGAGAAGGAGAGACTGAGAATCCCAAACAGGCTCATGCTGAGCCACGCAGATGCCCTTTTAAGAACATTTTATAAAAGAGATAAGAATAGACCAAAGACACAAATATACAGTTTTCTGTAGTTAAGAGAGATTTCTCTACAGATTAGATAAGACAATTTATCTTCTAAAAGTCAGTATTCAAATGAGTTGCTTAACAGTAGTGTGTTTCTAAAAGCATATGCTATTCACAAAATAATATACTCTATGATTCCATCTATATAAAGGTAAAAAAAACAGGCAAAGCTAAATCTATGATGAATAGAAGCCAGAGGAAAAAGAGGAAATTGGGGAAAGTGGATACTGATGAGCAGGGACATGAGAGTCTTCTGGGAAGACAGGTATACATATGTAAAAATTTATTGAGCTGTACATTTAAGATTTGTGCACTCTATTGTATGTAAGTTATATCTCTAGAAACAAATGATATTTGGCCATAAAAAGGAATGCAGTACTGATACATGCTACAATATGGATCTTGAAATCTTGAAAACATTATGCTATTATGAAAGAAGGCAGTCACAAAAGACCACTTATTGTATGATTCCATTTATATGTAATATCTAGAATAGGAAAACTTATACACAGAAAGTAAATTAGTGGTTATACTGGGCTTGGAGGGTTAGGGAGAAATGGAGAGTGACTGATAATGGGTACCAGGTTTCTCTCTGGGGTGATGAAAATGTTCTAAAATAGATATGATAATGGATGCACAACTCTGAATAGTCTAAAAACCACTGGATTGCACATTTTAAATGGGCATGTGAATTATAATGGTATGTGAATTACATCTCAATAAAGTTTATGTATATATTTATACATAAAAACAGGCAAAAATACATCAAACAAATAGAAAAAATTATGTTTATTAACAATAGTACATGTAGATAAAAGATGAGCTTTATTGTGTCTCTGAAAGTTATTATCAATGGTGTACAGAAGCTGGTTGTTAAAAATTCAGGAATTATGTGGGCCATTTATTAAATCATTGGTAGTCTGAACTTATTAGCCACAGAAATCAGCAAGTGCTACATATCAGAGGGTTTTTCCCCAGTAAGTCAGTTTACTAGAACACCACTGGTTATTTGCATACTTAGAAAGAGATCAGTTCTGAGGTTATTATAGGGAGAAGAAAATGGACTTAAAGATTTTCCCATAAATGTTGCAGTGGGAGTAGAAAGGGTGGCAGATTTTGTGAAGGAAGAATAGGTAGGACATGGTAAAAAGAAAAAATATTGTCACTTGAGAAAAAGAGGCATTTTAGAGTTTTAGAACTGAAGAAAATTAGATTGTACTACTAGTGGCAGGAATGGAGAAGTTTTTAAAAAAGGAGTTGAGATCAAAGAAAATGAGAAGTGAGAGAAGTCTTTGAGCATGGTGATTCAAATGATCATTAGAGACCTTTTAGAATATTAATGAAAGTGAGGACACCAGTGCCTTTAAGAAAATTAGAAGCAGGGGCACCTGGGTGACTCAGCTGGTTGTCAGACTTCCGCTCAGGTCATGATCTCACAGCTTGTGAGTTGGAGCCCCACGTTGGGCTGTGTTGACAGCTCAGAGCCTGGAGCCTGTTCCAAGTTCTGTGTCTCCCTCTCTCTCTGCCCCTCCCCTGCTCGTACTCTGTCTCTCTCTCTCAAAAATAAATAACAAATATTTTAAAAATTTTTAATAAAATTAACATTAAAAAATGAAAAAAAAAGAAAATTAGAAGAAAAGGAAATAGATTAGTAATAATTTCTCACTAGATATGTGTACTCATAAACAGAAATGAGAAAAACTGCAAGGTATCTAAAGGGGACAGAAAGATAGGTGGCAGGTTTGGGGTGGGGGGGTTGTTGTTGTTTTTATTTGTTTTTTTTTAAGTTAAGGAGATCTGGGCATGTCCAAGACAGAGGAAAAGGATTCAAAGAGATGGAAAATACTGGAGAAGGAATAAAATAGATAACAGGAAGAAAGAGTCTAGAGAAATAGCAGGGAATGGTTTCAAAGGACAGGATGGGGGAAGGTATTAGCCCTAGAAATAAGAATGATCACACTTTTCTAAAAGCAGAAGAAAGGGGCGCCTGGGTGGCGCAGTTGGTTGAGCGTCCGACTTCA